TATGTATATACAAGTCGGGGCTTTAGTCTATGTATATATAAGTCGGGGCTTTGGTCTATGTATATATAAGTCGGGGCTTTGGTCTATGTATATATAAGTCGGGGCTTTGGTCTATGTATATATATGTCTTAATATTAACGAAATTAATGCACGTACGTAAAAACCTCTCATGAAATAATATGTATATATAATGAATTAAATTTGCTTTAATCTGCCAAAGATGCATGTTATTCCAGGTTATAAAGACTAATCCCCACAAGTCTAGACCAGATGTGGAGTTTGTAACTTTTGTAGTGCCGTGAAAACCTCTCTCTCCACTCACTCAAATATTCCTAACACAATTCTGGCGTAACTTCGAAATAAACCGGAAAGTACAGGTGTGAAGTGAGTCTAGAATTCCTTTTCTTTCAACCTGGACAAAGTTATTAAATTTTCTTTGGAAAGAAAGTTCATTCTCGTGCAGCATTATTAGCATTACATTCTTCTGCTGTATTTATGAACACCGCTCTTACTTTCTGTTCAGGGTTATGGCTTCTATCCTTCAACAAACGGACCTACCAAAACGAATTGATCTTATTGGTGCACTTACCATATATTCACTTTCCCCAGTCTTCCAATAGAACGAAATGGGTGGCTTATAATGTGACAAGGATTATAAAGACTTCGTTTTAGCTTTTAAGATACTTCGGCGAAAAATGCTAAAACTCAATTTTCAATCTTTCGTGTGCAAGACAGCGCTCACGTCAGTGCTGTTGTGATGTTCATACTTTATGGGCAGAAGTATAAGATGCACGACCGGAAACCTCTAGAATTTGGCTAACATGATTAGAAACATTAATTGACAAAAAAGTACAATAGTAAAAGTTATGTAACCTCAATGACGTGCACTTTTTCGTGTTAAGCCATAAAAAATACATAATAATAACATTGAAAATAATGCCTGGTCAAGCGTAGCCTAATGGATAGTGTGCCGAACTGCAATTCTGGAGTCCAATGCTCGTACTGGGATACGCGACCATGATCCGAACTTTTAGCTATGAGGGCGTTATAATCGTGACAGTCAATCCCACTGTTAGGTTAAGAGTAGCCACGTAGGTAAACAGTGCTCTTGGATGATTGCTCTCTTATATCACTCTATTTAAGCCCATATATATCACATAAAGTAGCTTTCCGGATTTAAAAACAATACCAAATACAAAAACTAAAAATATCATCAACTTGTCTGGTTACTCCAAAAGACTGACATACAGAAGATATATATTAAACAAAATTACTCGTACTAGAATTGATCATGATTATTAACATTATGTGTATAGTATCACATCGTAGTAGAACTGATAATAAAATAACTCACGTCGGCAGCGCTGTATAACAGACGAGGCTTAAATAAAATCCTATTATACATTCTTCTTACAGAAAATTAATATTGGACCAGTGAAGAATACTATTTAAAGTATTATCAGTCTTACTGCGGTGTAATATTACAAAGTTATTACTTCTAAGTATCATGCTCCACCAGCTAAGGCATTCTAAACCATAATAGTGTAATCTCCCTCAAATCTAGCACTGATGTGTGATTCTGGGTTCGATCCCTGCAGATGACGCAAGCTCAGACAATCCCTTCTGTAGCTTTGCGCTAAAAGGAACAAGATTGCTGTTGTCTAACTGGTTTACTTTCTCTAACTACTTTTGCTAGAATAAATTTGTGCAGTGGATTGCCAGATCCCATAGTTGTAGCCTTCAATTGCCAGATCCCATAGTTGTAGCCTCCAATTGCCAGATCCCATAGTTGTAGCCTCCAAGCTTCTCTAATCTTTACCGTAAAGTGTTCGCCTGGCATATTTTTTTATATATCAAACTGTTCGGATCAATGTTCTATTGTCAACATCTCAAGCACATTCTGACGTTTTGTTTTTTCTCGCGTTTACTGCAGTAATGGTGAACTTGTATTATAGTACTGAATTATATAGAAACCAGAACTGGAATAATTTTATATCTATATGTATGTATAGGAACACTTTTCTTGTGGAGGAGGCTAATGAGCAAACGACTTTATGGTCTGTGTTCAGCGAACCCTAACTATTTTTGTTTGTTTGTTTTTTTAATTTCGCGTAAAGCTACACGAGGGCTATCTGCGCTAGCCGTCCCTAATTTACCAGTGCAAGACTAGAGGGAAGGCAGCTAGTCATCACCACCCACCGCCAACTCTTGTGCTACTCTTTTACCAACTAATAGTAGGATTGGCCGTCACATTATAACGCCCACACGGCTGAAGGGACGAACATGCTTGGTTGGACAGGGATTCGAACCCACGACCTTCAGATTGCAAGTCAAGCACCCTAACCACCTGGCCATGCCGGGTCGAACCCTAACTGAGTTACTATGTAATCCCTCCTACCATCACAAGCTTTGATATGAAACAAATATAATATCATCATGTTACCTTAAGATAATTATTATACAACTGCACCTAAGTACCTTTGAAATCCACAAAATAAAAGGTTAAACTTGAAGAACAAAAACTGGACAAAATTATCTTCTCTCGAGTTTCGGGGCACGAAATGTAGTCCTAACCCACTCTAAGATCTATATAATTATAATGTATTTAAATTTCTACATGTGTGATTACGAGTTGCTTAAACAGCGCCCCCTTCAAATGGGTGTAAAAAGAAGGTATGAAAGTAAATTAGTGATGTAATGAGCTCTAATACTCATCCAAATACGTGTGTGTGTGTGTGTGTGTGTGTGTGTGTGTGTGTGTGTGTGTGTGTGTGTGTGTGTGTGTGTGT